CCAGACGTAGGCTGACTGGAAGGATAACGCAGGTCGTCAACGAGGTCATTCATGGAACGAGAATTGGATTACCAATGGGAAAACGGTCGTCGATATTGCGGATCCCACTACCACCTACCAAACGACGAGTGGGAAATGTGCCGCATGAGCTTAATCCACCGAGTCTATCTCCACGTTTTCGACGGCAAGCTGAGCACGGTACCGATGGAGAACCCACAAAGGATACTAGATGTCGGCACGGGCATTGGCGAGTGGGCGATAGGCATGGCGGACGAGTTTCCGAACTGCGAGGTCATTGGCACAGACATTTCCGCCATAGCGCCCACGTCAATACCGATGAACTGCTTCTTCGAAGTCGACGACGCTGAGCTGGAGTGGGAGCGCGAGCTCAACTCGTTCGACCTGGTGCACTTCCGCCACATGATGGGCGCGTTCCTCGACTGGAACTTTATCTACAAGGAGGCCTTTAAGGTCATCCGCCCCGGCGGCTGGATTGAGCTATTAGACTGGGACGACCAGCAGGGGTTCAAGAAATTCCTTTCAGAATTCCCTCCCACGTCCGAAATCCACGAGCTGTCGAGAGACCTGACGCAGGCGGGCGTCAAGGCCGGGCGTACGAGGGGTGTCGCGCACATGAACCCAAAGCTGTTGACGGACGCCGGCTTCACGGATATCAAGCTGACGGAGCACACGATACCTATCAATCTCGAATCGAGCGAGGGCAAGCTGTGGCTGATTGCCTGCATCGACGGCCTGGAGGCGGAGTGCCTGCGGCCGCTTACAAAGTACATGGGGTGGGAGCCCGATCACGTCAAGACGGCGTGCCACAACGTCGCCAGGGAGATGGCGCGCCTGGCGAGAGACCCGATTAAGTCGCATGGCCTCATTGTCAAGGCGCGCGTGTTGGTGGGGAGGAAGCCGACGACTGCGGTTACGCCCCCGAGGGTGTACCCGATTTTCAACGACGACGCGGATGAGACGGATGATACCGCGAGAGAGGATGCTCACAGCAGACACCATGACGATGATGAGTCTGCTGTTGAGACGGCGGTCTGAGCTGTCGTCAAACGAACTATGTCGCCTCTTTGAAGAGGCGATTCAATAATTTCGCTCTATCCGGGTGACGAACAGCCTGGGCATGACTAGAGCAAAACGATTTTTATCTTCATGTTCACTTGCATATATCGCAACTTCCACACCGGCAGAAGAGGTTGGCCGGTCCTATTTAAAAGCGATCAACAAACTTTGCATAGCTCCTACTTATTTACCTTACTTTCTACGGAAACCGGACGGGGTCGAAAGAAAAGTACCTTGTCTTTAAAGCGATCAACTGAGGATGCTCTTGTATCAAATGGTGGATGGGGGTTCAAGGAGGATTCGAAGAGGACTAGTGGTTGCACACTCGTGCAGATCAAAGGGGTCGAGAGATATCCTAGCTACTAGGCAGATTAAGGATAGTCATCGAGAAAAAGATGAAAATAGATGAAGCTTCCATTTGGTGCAACATGCGTAGTTATGTGTCGAAATGAAGAGTGCAGAAGATTAAGCTACTACAAAAGTGCCGAGTTACCTCAATGACCTAAGGTACCTTAGAATTCAAGAGGTGTTATCGAAAAGCTCGGTGCTTCGACAGTACGTACCGCCACAGCTCCGTTCCCAGGCTGCGGTGGGGGGCCGACCGAGCTCCCTGCCTATGTCATCCATCCATCCAACAGAGCGACCACATACAATCACCAGCCTCCAACGAGCCGTCCACTTTGCGCAGCTGCAACTGGCGCACTCACCACCGCTCGAAACGAAACCACGATCCCTAGCGACGATGCCCGTATGACCCCGACGTAGCTGCCCCCTCGAATCATGGCTTTGAACCCCACCGACGGCTTCGTCGCCGCCGGCAACGGGGTGCTCGACCTGGACGACGCCGCGCTGCCCATGTTCATCGTCGAGCGAGTCCAGCTTCAGTTCTCCATCGCGGCCGACTTTGTCGCCGCCCAGGTCGCGAACAATGTTTTGGTTTTGGCGCTGTCAAACGGACGTATCTTACGCATCGATCTTAACAGACCCGAGGACATTGATGGTGCGTTTACGGACGACGAAATGATGGTGCTTGCTACTCACGAAATAACGAAATGCTAACCATGAGGCCACTCGCAGACATTGACCTCCCCAAGAAACCGGCAGAAGTCGGCGTCATCCGCCGCATGTTTCTGGACCCGACCGCATCCCACCTCCTCGTATGCACGGCGCTCGGCGAGAACTACTACCTCCATTCCCAGCACAAACACCCGCGCGCCCTAGCCCGCCTGCGAGGCGTCTCCATTGAGAGCGTTGCCTGGAACCCCTCGCTGCCCACGGCGTCGACCCGCGAGATCCTGCTCGGCGCCGCCGACGGCAACATCTACGAGGCCTCCATCGAGACCACCTCGGAGTTCTACAAGAAGGACATCAAGCTCAAGAACCTGCACAAGCTCCCGGATGGACCGATCACGGGACTCTGGGCCGATACCTTGCCGAAACGGCCCGACATGCGGCGGGTGATGATTGCGACGCAGAGCCGGCTGTTCCATTTGGCTGGCAAGGTCGGCAGCGGACACGACAGCGGAGGCTCGGTGTACACGAAACTGTTTGAGTCAGAGCAGCCGGTTATCCATGAGCTGTCGCGCTCCTCGGCCGCCGCGACGTCTTCGTTGGTCGTCTCGCCGGACCCTCCTGACCAGAACCCGTACGAGGACGAGGCGCACGAACGGGCCTACGCGTGGCTATCTGCGCAGGGCATCTTCCACGGACAGCTTGCCTCGAGTGCCGAGGGCAAAAAGATCTTTAATGAGTCGAGCATGCTTCCGCGGGATAAGATTGGTTCATCTGACGGACCGGGAAACAAGCGGAAAGCTACGGCGGATTACGTCGAGGCGATTGCTTTGACGCAGTGGCACATTGTCAGCCTGATTGGAGGCCGCGTGGTCGCCACGAATCGCCTGACCGGAGAGGTGGTCTATGACCAAATCGTTTTGGACCCGGGGCAGAAGGCTGTGAGCTTGTCTGTGGATCTGCAAAAGAACACGTTCTGGATGTTCACTGCGCAGGAAATTTTTGAAGTGGTCGTCAGGGACGAAGACCGCAATATTTGGCAAATCATGCTGAAGCTGCAACAGTTTGACTCTGCGCTGCAGCATGCGAAGACGCCCGCGCAACGGGAGACGGTGGCGACCTCGTATGGCGACCACCTCGTCGCGAAGCGGCAGTACATGGAGGCAGCATCGGTGTACGGACGTAGCAATAAGCCATTCGAAGAGGTGGCGCTTACGTTTATCGACAATAATGAACCGGACGCACTGAGGAAGTATCTACTAGCGAAGTTGAGCACGTCGAAGAAGGCGGCCGTCATGCAAAGAATTATGATTGCGAGCTGGCTGATGGAGATATTCATGGCGAGGCTCAACTCGCTGGACGACACTATTATCACGCAAGCCGAGTTGGCGGACGGCCTCAACCCGGCGCAGTCGAGGGAACAGCTCCACGCAGTCCAGGGCGAGTTCCAGGAGTTTGTCAACAAGTACAAGTCTGATCTCGACCGGCGGACGGTGTACGACGTGATCAGCAGCCACGGCCGGGAGCAAGAGCTTTTGCACTTTGCCAACGCCGTCAACGACTACAACTACGTCCTGTCGTACTGGGTTCAGCGCGAGAGGTGGCCAGAGGTGCTGACGGTGCTGAAAAAGCAGACGGATCCCGAGGTTTTCTACCGGTACAGCACTGTGCTTATGACGCATGTTGCTTCGGACCTGGTTGAGATTCTTATGCGCCATTCCGACTTGAAGCCTCGCAAGCTGATTCCTGCGCTGCTGGAGTATAACCGCAACTTTGAGGGCACCCCCCAGCAGAACCAGGCCGTCCGATATCTGCAGTACATCATCAACCAGCTCAACTCCAAGGACTCGGCAGTACACAATACTCTTGTTTCGATATATGCCCAGACCTCCAAAGACGAAGCGGGCTTGCTATCGTATCTGGAATCGCAGGGAGAGGAGCCCAACTATGACCCGGATTTTGCCCTTCGCCTGTGTATCCAGCACCACCGCACGTTGTCTTGCGTCCACATCTACACAAGTATGGGCCAGTACCTGCAAGCCGTCGACCTGGCGCTCTCGCACAACGAGGTTGAGCTGGCGTCCGTGATTGCCGACCGGCCCATGTCCAACCCGCCTCTGCGGAAGAAGCTCTGGCTCGCCGTTGCGCGCAAGGTCATTTCGCAGTCAAACGGCATCAAGACGGCCATTGACTTTTTGAAGCGGTGCGACTTGTTGAAGATTGAGGATCTCATCCCCTTTTTCCCGGATTTTGTCGTCATTGACGACTTCAAGGAGGAGATTTGCACTGCGCTCGAGGACTACGGGCGCAACATTGACTCGTTGAAGAAGGAGATGGACGAGTCGTCGCAGACGGCGACGAATATCAAGGTGGATATTGCCGCTCTGGATCACCGGTACGCGATTGTCGAGCCTGGGGAGAAGTGTTATGTCTGCGGGCTGCCGTTGTTGAGCAGGCAGTTCTTTGTGTTTCCCTGCCAGCACTCGTTTCACTCGGATTGTTTGGGCAAGAGGGTGCTGGAGCAGGCTGGGGTCGGCACGAGTAAGAGGATCCGCGAGCTTCAGGTGCAGATTAGCAAGGGGTTGGTGAATGGTGCCAAGAGGGAGGCTATGATTATGGAGTTGGACTTCTTGGTGGCATCGGCATGGTGAATCGCACTTTTTTTTTTTTCTTTCTCGTCGTGGAGACATGAGCTAACACTTTTTTTTGCAGTATTCTTTGCAGCGAGTTTGCCATTAAGAGGATTAATGAGCCATTTGTGACGCCACAGGATAACCTCAATGAATGGAGGATTTAAAGGGGTGTGTGGTGGCCTTCCCTGGTTTGAAGCACACAGTCTGCTCTTATCTTTGTACATGATAGCAAAAAGAAACCTTGCATGAAGCAAGCGTTGTTTTAATGACTGCAATACCCGGCGTTTCCATATTCAAGAGTTTAATCCAGAGCATACCCAGAGATTCATGTTTTGGAAGCTATTGACTCTGGTTGTGTAGTGACCAGCATCCCACGGGGTTTGACGACGGTGTAAGTCTTGCTTGGCGTTGGAAGGTTGAATTAATTTGCGGTAGAGAGATATGAGAGCTTTCAGGAGCCTGAGCAGTCGGTGACTTGCGTTTGCGAAGTCGAGAGGAGGAGGATGGAGACGATGAGGCCGTAGAGGCCTAGGACCTCTGCGAAGATGAGGATTAGGACCATGCCTGTGTATAGACGTGGTTGTTGGTTTGTGGCTCTGACTATGGGTGTGTGTCAGTTCACTAGAACCTTTCTCGCGCCCTCTTCGTCACTTAACCAACGGCCATAGGGGGGGGGGGGGGGGGGCGAGTATATCGACAGCAGAGTGTGAACAAGAAAAAGAGGGGGGGGGGTGGGGGGAAGAGAGAAAAAAAACTTTACCTCCCGCATCACCAACAATCCCAATAGCGAACCCCGCCGCAAGCCCGCACAGCCCGACGCTGATCCCGGCCGCGAGCTGGAGGAAGCTGGTACGCAGCGCCTGCTTCTCGACGAGGCGGTTGGCGATGATGACGCGGCGACGAGGCCGTAGATGCTGAGGATCTGGGCCATGATGGCGCAGAGGGTGTTTTGCATGAGGCGGTCGGGGCGGAGGATTTGGCGGTGCCGTAGGAGGAGCCTAGGACTGTGAAGATTATGGCGGCTATGCAGCCCATTGCGCCGAAGAAGGACTTTTGGTTTTTAATTAGTTATTTGTAATTTTGGGAAGAGGGAGATCAGAGGGGGGTTGAGGATAAGGTTGTCGAGGCTGGAGGAAGAGGATGGAGAGAGAGAGGTTGGCTTACGGAGTACGCTGGACTTGGAGGATGAGGGCGTGTTAGCTATGAGTATCGTGAGATTTGGGGATGAGGCTATAGGCACCTACCAGCGGTCCAGGTTCGCAAAGACGATTTCGTCCATTCTGGTGGTAGTGGTGGTGGGTGATGTGAGGACGGATTGCATTAAACTCTACTGATTTTGAGCTTATTTGATTCTCGGAAGTTTTCAGATCTGGTCAAGGTGACGGGCAGCGTGGGGTATATGTAATTGGTTCTATGGTGGTTTACTAGGAGGGCGCGTGGTCACTCATCACGGCTTACCTTATATATCGTCTACGCTGGTAGCATCGAGGAGGCCTACTACCTACTTTCCTGTCATACCACACACATGCATAGCTCCAAGAAGAGACTTAGTTGCCTAGAATGCAGAATCAGGCTTGATGTATACCTGCTCCTGGTTCATTTCTTGGACTTTATTCGTTGGGCCACTTACAGCTCGCGGTGGCTTTTCACGAACGGGGTGATTAAGGTCCGATCTCATCTTCCCTACATGCCTTGAGGCTGTCGGGCGAGAAGTAGCCCTACGCGTGACACGAATGCTGACTTGCCTTACGGATACCTCAGTAGGGTAGGTACATTCAGCTGTTCCAGTAAGTATGTCAGCAAGTACCGTCGACAAATAATCTCACTCGGAAGGTTGCGGTGGTGGCCGCGGGCGCGTCTGATTGGTTCGTGATGGCGATGAGGAAAACCGGAACGGTGGGGGTTAACGCGGCCGGCGCCGTAGGCTGGGTGGATCCACCTTTGCCGGCCGAGATTTGAGAGAGAAGTCCGGGTTTAGGCCGTAGCACGTGATTTGACATGTGATCTTGAAGAATGTCGTGCACGGTCCAAGGGGAAGGGGGGAACGCACCCGTCGCAGAGATGCTTCTTTTTGGGAGATCTCCAGTTCATGATTCGCTTACAAGACGAATTGGCTGGCAATCCCCGTTCGGGAGGAAACGAACAAAGTGCGGGCTAGTCAGGGGGTTCTTGCGCGCCAGGTGTGCCAGATAGATGGGCGAACTTTGAAGAACGACGGTCACCGGGTTCCTCTATCTGGGTCCTACACATGATCTGCAACCTTGGGCGGTCCTGTCAGGCGGGTTTTGGAGTCCTGACACAGTGACACTTTTGAAGTCTAATACCTAATAGTAGCATCTTTCTTTTACCTGTCCCGGTCGACCTTATTTACGGATACCATTCTCTTCAATACTCGGCCCGCGGATGAGGAAAAGCGGGATTGCCCACCTTCTTACTTACGCATCCACTTCTCGTACGGAGAGCATCGTACGAAATCATCAGAAATACGACGAATTGGAGAGGCCGACGGACCCGTGGTGCCTCGTCATCCCTAATTTTTCGTCTCCTGGTACGAAGTACATCTTGGAGTCTTGCCTACCTTGTGCAGTAGCGCCGGGACTTGGGTGCTCTTGGCCCGGACGCTGCTCGCGCGCCACATCCCGGCCCCATCGGATCTCAGCATCGGTATGGAGTGGGGGGGGGAAAGGGAAGGGAGGGAGCGTTTGGACGAAGCGGCGAAGCGCGTGGGTTGGATGACGGGCACTTCCTTCTAGCTCTCCTTCCCGTCCGCCATCTGCCTTTTCTTGCTACCGTCAATGATGCCCTTCCGGATTCCCGGAGTGGCGATGAACGCATCAAACGCAGTCGGGTCTGTCGGCCAGACCAATGTGAAATTTCCAAGGCAGATGATTCCTCACAGCGTTGCGCGTTGCGCAATCCGTGAACGAATGTGTGCCGGTGACGCTACGATCCCCGACACCGAAGACGCAAGCAGGAGTCTTTCTTGGAGGACACGCGGCTCTGGCGGCAACGTGTTGCAGGTGCTAGCTGGCTCTCTGGATCGTGAGACCTGGGTGAAGGTGTGAAGGAGGTGTCGAGTGTCGAGTATCACCAATTTTAGAGGTTACAGTTCTTTTTCGTCTTTTGCTGCGTTCGTCGTCTTACCCCATGCTGGCTCGGACCGAGAAAATGTCTGATTTTATCTGGGAACGCGACGAAGAACACCTCCTCGGCTGGCCTCGAGTCGGGATTCATAGGTACGGATACCCAGATTGGTGTGGCTGACCAGAGCGTAGCGATGTTGGTTCCAAAGTGTCTGATATTCCGCTAGCTGAGACAGAAAAGGGTTCGCTGTTGGTCGGGGGTTACATTGATGCTCGCGTTCCACATGCAGCCATTTTTACTCCTGCCCAGCTGCTGCTGCAACGCAACCGCACCGCACCGCAGTGACCGCACCCGCACCGCCCTCTTTTTGCGCAGCCGCGGTGCAGGAGACACGACAGTTGTGCGCTCTTCCTTCACGGAGTACGGATACTCAGAGTGGAAGTGTGACTCTGTATCCGTAGACTCGGACTGTGTGAGAGAGAGAGAGAGAGAGAGGGAATGTGGGAGCAAGGGGGGCTGGGTCGTCTTTCCCTACGGACCTACGGCTACCGGCCCACGCAACTGCAAAAAAAAAAGGGTAGAGCGCCGCAAAATAAAGGGGACGGGATGCTTAGAAAGGGCACGCTGCAAGCACGGCCACGCGTCTTTTTCGACTCCGCCTGACATGGCTCACACTCGCTAGCTTCCTTTCCCTTCCCTTCTCTTCCCGTGGGCCGTTACCAGTGGTAAGAGTGAGTCTGTGATACTTGTGATACCTCTGATTCCATGACTCCCAGCCCTGTCGTTGAAAGGTTTTGACCCGGGGTCGTCCCGGGCTGGGAAGTCTGGAGACCTCTCGGCCTTCCCCTTTCTTGTCCAACCATCTTGCACCAATTCGCTGCTCCGTCCGTCGACATCCCTTCTTCCCTTCCAAGCCTTCCGCTGTAAGCGTGACCAAGTGGTCACTCCGAGTCTCTCTCTCTCTCTCTCTCTCTCTCTCTCTTGAAGAGCGAGCTGCTCCCATTCTCGCTACTCCCGGCCTCGTCCAAACACGCTCAACCCCGGACCCTGTCCGCAACCCCCCCGTCAACCCGTCCAGTGCCCCGCCGAGCATGACGACGAGGTCAAGTCTGCGACTGGGTGAGACCTTTTGGACGAGACTGTGGCGCTTGGCAGTGTCAGTTCCCGCCTTGCCCATGGCCCGCGCTGTTGCTGTTTCTATTCCGAGAACAGAGGGACCAGAATTTTGACTTTTGGTACAAAGAAAGACTTGCATCTCATCTTTTTGCCTGCTTTTCTAACCCAACCGCACCTTTTGGCTCTGGTCTGCTCTTTTGGCTCTGGTCTGCTCTGTTGGCTCTGGTCTGCTCTGTTGGCTCTGGTCTGCTCTTTTGGCTTCCTCTGTGCTTCCATTGCATTGGACTATTCTGCTCGTGCTTTCTGCAACTTACTCATCCAAGCTGCCACTACCTACCACGGGTTAGTAGTTACACGACAAGTCTACCTACACATTTTCTTAAATCCTCCGGATTGCCGGATTTTCCCACTCACTACGTCTACGCGTGCGCCGAAAGAAAAGAAAGAAGAAGGCCTTTGCTTTCGTCTTCCCGTCTCTCTAGTCTGGTTTGGTGGTCCGGTGCCAGCTCACCACTCCCGCCGCCCCCAATTCGTCTTCATCAGCAACGCAAGCTCCGCCACCATCGCGGGTGACGAATCCTCTCCCCACCGTGCCGTATACCGAGTCCACCCACCCGCGAGTCGCCTTCACCGAACTCCGGAATTTCGCAACCGACTTTTTCTCATCCTTCTAGTCTTCTTCTTTACCGTCTGTGTTGCGCCATCAATGACTTCATAGCACGACGCCATTCTCTTATATCTACATCCTCCCGGCACCCTTGTCTTGGCGGCCGGCCGATACTCGAGCTCGGATATCGTTCTCTAATTCAAAGTCGTGTAATCTGCTATACACATATACACAAACACACAGACTCAAGATGAGGTCAACAACATTAATTGCCCTTGCGGCTTCGCTACTACCCACGGAAGGACTTGTGCTCAGGAAGAGCGAGAGCAGCACACCAAAGGTGGTTGGGTTGGATCTGCACCGAGCAACGATACCGTACACACGCAATAGGAGGGATATGCTGCGGAAGAGAGGTTCAGTGCAAGCGACTTTGGACAACTTGGTAGGTCTACAACTGAAGACTTCCCAGTACTGCATCTGACATTTCACAAGGAAACTCTGTATTTCGTCAACGGCTCTCTTGGAACACCAGCACAGCCTATGCGACTTCACCTCGACACCGGAAGTAGTGATCTCTGGGTCAACACAGCAAGTTCGGCTCTTTGCCAAGGTCAAGGCACGCCATGCTCCGTATCCGGTACCTACTCAGCGAACGATTCGTCAACATACAACTACGTCGGAAGCTGGTTCAACATTAGTTATGTCGACGGCTCGGGAGCGAACGGCGACTACGTTACGGACAAATTCACCATCGGCGGATCTACTCTGACCGACTTCCAGTTCGGTGTCGGCTACACGAGTTCATCGGCACAAGGTATCCTAGGAGTCGGATACAAGGTCAACGAGGTGCAGGTTGGGCGTGCCGGTCTGGACCCCTACGAGAACCTGCCCGCCAAGATGGTTTCTCAAGGCCTTATTCAATCTAGCGCCTTCAGCCTGTGGTTGAACGATCTGGACGCGAGCCAGGGAAACATTCTCTTCGGCGGAGTCGACACGGCGCGCTACGAGGGCGAGCTCAAGACCGTACCCATCCAGAAGGAGTCTGGCAGCTACGCCGAGTTCCTCATCACCCTAACAAAGGTGACGCTCGGCTCAAAGACGTTGGACGAGAACATGGCCCTCGCTGTACTTCTCGACTCGGGTTCCAGTCTCACGTACCTCCCGGACGATATGGCCACAACAATCTACTCCATGGTGGGCGCTGTCTACCAGCAGGAAGAAGGCGTCGCCTTCATCCCCTGCTCCACGGCCAACTCGGGCTCCAACATGACCTTTACCTTTTCGGGGCAGCCCATCACAGTGCCCATTGACGAGCTCGTGCTCGACCTTGTCGCCATCACCGGCAAGCGCACGTCCTTCTCCAACGGCGTTGAAGCCTGCCTCTTTGGCATCGCCCCCGCCGGCGACGGCACCAATGTGCTCGGCGACACATTCCTGCGCTCGGCGTACGTGGTTTACGATATCGACAACAACGAGGTCTCGTTGGCGCAGACCAAGTTCAACGCCACGAGCACAAACGTGCTTGAGATTGGCAAGGGTAGCGGCGCCGTGCCGTCTGCGGTTGCCGTCGCGAGCGCAGTCTCCGCCACGGACGGCATTGTCCGTGGAGGAAAGAATGCGGCGCCGTCGTTGGCGCCACTGGCGGCATCCATCTTTGCGGGATCCGTTGCCTTTGCGACTGGGTTCTCGCTTTACCTCTTCTAAACCCAAAATCAACAACACCGCATTCTGTTGGAATGGGTTTCGGGGAGCTTAATGTTTCAAACGGTCGATTTTTTGCTTCTTCATAGCACTGCATTGCGAGGGCGTTTTTGGGTTTCTTCTGTTTTCGAGATTTTAACAATCATGGCTGATGTATCTGCATCGAGCAAGGCGTTTTTTTTTGGGTATGCATGCATTCACAAGACAGCACTCATTCGTTTTGGAGGTTGAGCGAGGAGTAGGATACGAAAGAGACGGTCGAGAAGTCAAAGAGGCATCAGGCGGAATTTCTTTTTCCCCAGCCTGAAGCTGTTGAGTAGAACGATAACCTACAAGAGATGGCCTAGAGCCAGAACTTCATCAATGATAGCATTGGCTGATTTAGGCGCGATTCTTTCCATCATATTCAATGAACCATTTTCCACGCCGTGACTACAATCTGTATCGATGCAGTTCAGCTGCTCCAACCAGTCAAGCTCCGTTCCTTTGGACTGTGCACCAACCACGTGCTCCATTCCATGCGACTACCTAAGGTAGTCCATCCACTCTCCTCTTCATCTGATGTCTCTCTCTCTGTGTGTGTGTCTCGTTTGGGTTCTAAAAAAAGAAGTTCTTCCCACCACGGGAGACCGACTGTCCGGTTTCCAGCTGCTGCTGTAGCCTGTACGCATCTCCTGGCCTGGCCCCTGACAAAGAAAATGCTCACAAGCCACACAAGCTTCTCAGAGAAGCTTGAAAAGGGAACCCGTTCCCATTTGGCTTGCCAAGGCGTTTCTTGCTAATGCCAAGAGGTTTTGGAGTGTTTCCTTGGGTTTTGCGACGGAATTATGCGGTCGGTCTCTCTTTCTCTCTTTGAAGATTGCCGCCCCCTTTCTGGTGAGGTACGACAAGGGGTTGTAGGAGAGGGTGAGGGAAACAGGGGAAAGGGTTCCCTCGATTTGGGCGTTGTTTCTGAAATCACGATGGTTAGGATCTGTGTGATGTAAGGGGATCGAAATGGGTTGGTTGTCTTGTTGACGTGGTGAAATTGAGATCGTGAGATTGCCTGTCTCCTCAGGCGGGGAAAGGGAGGGTGATGATGCTGAGGCCCGCCGCCGAACCCAGGGGACGGAATCAGGCAACACTCAAGGAATTTCCAGAAACGGGTCCTTGATAGTCTTGCTCCGTCCCAATCCTTCCTCGTCCCCGTCCCCTTCCGAAGAAGAAGCAGCAGCAGCAGCCGGGATATACGGCCTGATAACCTCATCGACATACCCCCGCGGCAACCCAAACCGCTCCGTCGCCTCGTCGACGCCGCGATTCATCCGGTCGATGTACTCGTCCCACGGCGTCGAGGGTTCGGTCCTCTCGGTGTCGACGTACACTAGTGCCGTGACGTTGCTGCCTGGGGTGAGATTGACGGCGGCGGTGGTGCTTGGTGGGGTAAAGTTCACCACTTTGATGGCGAGGTCTTGTTTTTGGTAAGCGTGGGGGACGCCTTCGCATCTATCGAGGGTTGCTTCGTCTTGGGGCGGGAGGGCGTAGAGGATGCCGTAGACGCCCGGAACCGAAGCTGGGGCCGGATCCGTGGTTGGTGTGGCAGCAGCGGGGTGAGCGGGATTGGCGGGGCCGTTTGGGACGACGTTGGCGTAGCGGCGGGAGTTTATGATGAAGGTGTGGTTTGGGAGGTGGGCTAGGCCGAGGGGTGTGGAGGCGGGGCAGCGGAGGGACATTTGGGTTGGGGAGAGATTGGACCCGTAGGCGAAGTAGAGGCGAGGGGACGATGTTGAGGCCATTCTTATCTTTGGTGATGGTGTGGTGGTCGAAATGGTGTCCGAGATGTCGTGGTTGTGAGGTTGTGAGGTTGGCGAGCCTTGGTCTTTCTGCTGATGAGGTTGAGGGCTCACTCGCGGGTGTGGCTGACGCGTATTTGTCGCTCGCCACTTCTCTTCTACAGCTCTCCTAAAAGACAATTGGTAGCCGAAGTCAATGTTTTAATGTTGCGAATGGGAGGTGGTGAGCGTCCCCAATATATGAGGTGGTGAAATGGCTGAGAATTAGGCAGCTAGCACGCCACAGGTCGATGGTCTCAAGGGCACTGGTGAATTCGACCTGCCTACTTCCCTGTGAGCCATTGCACTTGTCTTGTCTTTTGATCAAACTTTCATCCTGCCGCTATTTCCTGAAGTTGTAGTCCTTTATACTCACCCCAAGGACTTACTGCGATTTCGAAAGTCGGTCTCGCATATCGCTACGGTACCTAAGACAGGCTGCTCTGTCCGGGGAGCAAATTAGCTCAACCCGGGCCGAAAGTGGGACCGGGATTCGGTACGGCACGGCGGTAGCGGCATAAGTGCCTCACATCGTCTTTAAGCATTATCTAGTATGTATGTATCCGTACATCACTCGTATAGCCTTCTCTCTCATTTCTTGCATCATGTCGTCAACGTCAGAATCTATGATCCCCTGATCTACGACGAAGCAATGATTTCAGCAGCCTGCTCGGCGAGAGCGTACACAGCGGCCTGGATGTGAACCGTGATGATTGTCGGGAACACGGAAGCGTAAACGGCTTCAGACCCTCCGGCGCCGCCTCGGCCTCGACGATCCCCTGGCTCAGCGGCGACTCGCCGCCAATCATCATGCGCGTCATCCGGCGGATCGAGTCGCGCCACACGAATCGATCGACCTCTGACCCGAAGAAGTTGGGGTCGATGAGCGGGGCCTCACGAGGGTCCGCGGAATTGAGCGTCACGGAGCCGCGGCTCGTGGGGTGGAGGCCGACGTTGGCGGTCGTGAGGTAGGTGCTGTTGGACGGAAGGGCCGGGTTCGTGTTGACGTAGAGTACGAAGCCTTCCATGTGGATGCGCTCGTTCTTGAGGAGTGGGTGCGTAGCTGCGTCGGGCGCGCTGCCCTCTTCCTCGGTGATGGCGGCGACGAGGCCGTCTTTATCTTCCACGCCAAAGGAGGCGACGAAGTGGTTGGGCTGGCCGAGGCCGTACTGTGGTTGGAAGAAGAGGGAGTTGCCCGAGTCGACGGTCGAGTTGCGGTACTGAGGGGAGAGTCGCCAGTTGTAGGTGAAGAAGGCGTGGTCAGCAAAGTTCTTGCCGACCTCGGGCGCGTCGAGCTTGGTATCGATGCCGTGCTTGGCGAGCTCGTCGGACGGGCCGATGCCGGAGAGCATCAGCAGCGGCGGCGATGATCTCCTTGCCGAGGATCTCCGTGCCGTTAGCGAGACGGACGCCAGTCGCGACGAGGGTGCCGGCGCTGGAGCTGGAGTTGTTGTCGCTGCGGAGGAGGATCTTCTCGACGAGCGTGTCTGTCATGACCATAATGCCGTCGAGGGGGTAGTACTCTGACGCGATTTGGCGAACGCCGTTGCGGCGGTTCTCTGCGATCTCGCCAAAGCCGAGGTTCTGGCCGGCGTTGGCGTCTAGGCCCGGGAGGGCCTTGATGCCGATGGACTCGTACGAGACATAGACGGCGTCTCTCAGGGGGTAGACGCGGCCCGTGACCGAGGGGTCCTCGACCTTCAAGGGTCCATCGAACCCGTGCTCGTCCGCGTTGACGTCGGTCCAGTACGCCTCGGAACGCTTGAAGAACGGCAGCTGGCTGTCGTAGCTCCAACGGGAGTCGTTGACCAGGTCGGCCCACTCGTCGTAGTCGACGCGGGCGCCACGCATCCATCCACCTGAACAAGGAGTCAGCATTTTGGACATGTATTTTAACCGTAGACTACGTTGGTTTGGTGACGACTTACATGTGTTGATGAGGGAGCCGCCGCCGAGACCCTTCCCGGCAGCGCTCTGGATGACGCGGTTGTTGAGCTGAGATTGCGGCGTGGAATAGTAGTTCCAGTCAAAGTCGCCCGAGATCAGGTTGGTCGAGTTGACGTAGAGAATGTCCGTCCGGCCAGCCGCGCTACTGCCAGCCTCGATGACGAGGATCTTGGCCGTGTCGTGTTGTTGAGCGCCAAGAGCCGGCTCGGCCGCCGCCGACGACAATGTAGTCCCAAACGTCGGTTGGTAGCATGATTACCGGATGTGTGTGTTGTTATGCAGGGTAGCAGCACGTAAAACAAATATTCGGCGCAACGTTTTCGAAAGGGAAAACTTGGCGCAAGGGTGATTGATGCTGCAGACCGGGAACCGGGAGTCTGGGACAGAAGTGTGACGAGCCGCTGCAGAATGTAATGCAGAGAGAATCGGGCGTAGGAGAGGAAAAGGGAGAAGACCTCACACACGAACCAGACAGATGCTGCAGCCGCTTCCTTTTAAGAGCAGATGCATCGGGAGATATCACGCACACATCGTCAGTCAACATCCCCCTCCGAGGCTTCGTTTTGCGGCCGTTGCGGGACTATTGCCATGTGGAACTCGGCGCAATTTTGGACATTTTGATATCGCGAAAGGGCCAGGGCCGAAAGGTGGCTCGGGTGCGGCTGGTGAGCGACATCGACAGATCAAGAGGTTTCTCCCCCATTATCCCCGTTGAAGGGTTCCACCAATATTCCTCCTCCACGGGGAACCTTTCCGGGCGAGGTCCTGTCGTCTCCTCTTGCCGGGTTTCTGACTAGGTGGCAGAGGGCTTTGAGAGGGCTCATGAGTCGATCGAGTGGTGTTCAAGGATCCGGAGTTGTGGAGTTGATTCGGACTAGGTTACCGAAAGCAGAGACCACTCGTTCTGCGGTCCGTCATCCCCTGTTCCCTACTACGTTAATAGGGTTATTGTGATGATGGGACTTGGCTATCGATCGGCGTAACTAAGTTTACTACATCAAATGGGTCTACTGCAACTCTATGGTTGCCGCAGCATATCACGATATCTTCAGCGGACGGGCAGAACTAACGCCGGTTATGCTTATTCTTCTTCTTCAAACATAGTCTCGTTGGTTTGAGATAACTCGGCATGCCGTCTTCTTCACGCGAACTAGCGCGGCTCCATAGCACTTTTGGAGCGGGCCCTATTTCAACATCCCAGCTTCATGCAGAGCGTAAGTCACAGGAAGCCTGAAGGAGCTCTCATCATTCGTATCCATATTGCACAATCGTATACGGTATCACCATGTGGGAATCCTCGCGCTCCATTTCCATGGTTTCCCTCTTGCGTTATTGTGATATCTAATCACTGCCACGTGGGATCCCAGTGTGTCCGCCTCTCGCATCATCCGAGACCCATCGGCTGGTGAGCCATGACCAGAACCTGGGTTAGTTTCGGGTAGCCAAGAGGAATGAGGCCTGTTGCCCCCCCCCTGTAAGGAAAGTGTTTGCTTTTTCCCCCTTCCTACGGATAGACCTGCCACATCTCGACGTCTTGACTCGATCATGCATATGTTCTATCCGCATGAAGAATTCGGATCACCCGCCGTGCCGCTGCAGAAAGGAGGTTGACGGACTTGTTAAGCCGTCAGACTCCCCATCTCGTCTTGTGCGGCTATCTGTGGTAGTTGAGGATTGGATCTCAGCCACCGTATCCGCCGTCGTGTGAGACGACACACATCTACGATGAGAGTTAGCGGTGCGCTCTTTGCTCGTCTAGCCGTACCGACGAATGCTACCGTCCGGCCAGAGGATGTCATCCAGACCGAAATTATGCCCCTTTCCGACCGGGCGGTTCCCATTATCGTCGTCAACGTGCTTCTCACCTTCGCTACAACGCTATGGACGGGTATGCGATTATACAGCTGGCGGAAGAAGGGACAGTCGTTCACCATTGAGGATTTCTTGACTGTTGTTGCTCTGGTAGGAGACGACATGGTCGCAAGGCGCTTTGAAAGTTGTTGACAACATAGTAGATTGCCTTCTATGGGCTAGTAGCCTGCAATTTTGTCAGTAAGTTGGATCGCGAAGTTCCGCAGAGTTGACCTATGCTAAAGGGCGGCTCTAGTGGTTTACCTAGGGGGAACCGGGCATCACTACTTGACGCTCCAGCCATATCACGTCGAACGCATGTCAAAGGTCAGCCCGTCAAATATGTTAACATTTTACCCCTGACCATGCCTTTTGCCTCTCGCGAAGAAGCACAAACTAACAACACACTCCTCGGGGGCTAAGACAGGCCGCATACGGTGTCCAAACCCTCTTCGCCATCTGTCTCGGCTTCAAGATCGGCATCACCCTCATGCTCCAGCGCGTCTTCTTCGTGCGGAGCTTCAAGATCGCGGCCCGCATCACCGCGGGCCTCTGCGTCTGCTGGATGCTCTTCACCATCCTCATAGGCATCTTCATCTGCCAGCCCGTGGCCATGAATTGGAACCCGACGACGCCTGGCGGCAAGTGCGGCGACCAGAACGCCGCCTTCGCCGCCGTAGGCTACTTTGCTCTCGCGACGGATCTTATTATTCTCGTGCTGCCGATACCCATGGTCTATAACCTGCAGCTGCGGTGGCCGCATAAGGTGGCTTTGTACATCATCTTTGGCGCAGGCGCTCTGTAAGAGAACCCCCAGATTATTCCTTCATTCTCAAATTGTTATGCTGTGATATAGATGACTGACAAGAGCCCGTACATCTTCTGCAGAACCATGATCTTCGCTGCCCTACGATTGAAGAATGTCTTAACAATGGACTTCACAGACGTAACCTACTCCCAAGTCGGTGTCGTGCTAATGGGGACACTCGAACCCGGCGTCGCTATCATAGTCTCGAGCAGCTTCCTTCTGAAACCGTTATTCGACGCCACCGTCGGCCGCTTCTGGTCCCTCCGCGGTGGCGGAGCCGGGCCAGCCTCAGCGAAACCGACCACACTCCAGACGATTGGCCAATCCGGGCTTTTGGGGTCGAAGCTATCTAGGGCCGGGGGAGGCAGGTTCAGCCAGATGCACTCGACAAACAGCGACGACGATGACGATTTGGAGCTAGATATGCTGCGGGAGAAGAGGCATGACGTAGCTGTCATGGTGGCCAGCGGGAACCCGTCAGAGGATAGTGTTGTGAGGGGCTTCAAGAGAAGAGGTGATGACGATACTTCGGGCTCCGAGGTTGGGATTTTGGTGACGAGGAAAACGAGTGTTGTGAGCGAGGCCAGGGGGGAAGGCTTGTAAGCTTTTGTTCTAGTTTTACCGACGGCTCAGATCAAGTCACAATCAAGATCCTTGAACGAGCAATCGCTTACCGTACGGGCCGGGAGCTGCCGGATCACAAGGAGTACATGGAGCCGGCTGTGGACACAGAGTCAGACTCGTGATGTGCCCAGTCTCGTCGCCGCAAATTGCTTTCAGCCAAAAAAAGCCATACAAGACTTAGATGATTGGAATACCGCCGTCATTAGCGGTGGCCTCTTCACGCTCGCTACGTTCCGCTTCTATATAGCCCAGTGTGAGATGCAGCGGGGTTTTGGACTCTTTCTTCAGTACCTACGTTACACTCTCGACCTCGTGACTCGTTGAATTGATTTCATAGCCTTGAGTGATACCTTGCATGTAAGAACACCCTTTTTGACCTTTGGAGAGGAGATGGTTTGCGGTGACGAGCTGCCACCTGGTCTCCTGAGCCGGCTTTGAACAACCCTCGCCACACCCAACTCAGAAGAACAGCCATGCCACACTTCTTTCAGTAACTTGTTAGAGTATAAGGCTGAATGGATCAAAAAGGAGAATGTTCATTGCGAATGGTGCCAATATCCTAGTTTTTCCTTCCCAGAGGATCTGGTTGGCGGTCCGTGGTGGTAGAAGCGCGCCTTGGCGTCTATTGAAGTGAAGAACGATCATGTAGTACGAATCATGGATACTTGATCTGGCAATCATTGACGAGGGCGGTTAACATGGGATCATTCTCCAACTATTCTTCAATCTTTGTCGTGCATGTTTTCCTTTCGTTGGATATTTGGTAGGCACCACTGAATAGAACGCGTTGACCGCGTTCGAAGGCGATTGGTGATCAATAACTCTGGAATCCATTGTCACAAAGTAATGCCGCCTGACCCATATTCAATGTTACCAATAGAAATTTGTTCTGTTCAACATTCTATTTGGGAAGGCAAAGTCATCGGACTAGATAAGTTGGTTTGGGAAACATGTCTATAAAATGCCATCGAACGGCTGCCCATCTAGTGAAGACTTGTAAATCGATCACGACATCCCGCCATTACAAACCATTGCATCCAACATCTATCTAATTCGATACATCTTTGCCGAAATGTCTAGCGCTACAGTCAATTCTGATCCTCCCCCTCCCCATGAAGCGGGCATCTGGACGCCTCTTCCTGGATATGGGGTATACAGTGTCGAGGTCAAAGTTCGCCAGTCAGATAGCAAGGCGCTGTTGATATGGCGCAATCACAATGATGTACTCGGAACGGTTAAGGAAACCAAGATGGTTTGGCTCACGCGAGTGCAAGACGCGGACTTCAAGTACGGCGAAACTGGGGATACGCACTTCGTTTACTCTCAAAGCGACTGGTGCGACCCCAAGGATCAAGATGGGCCGTGCGATCCGGGAAAAGCACGTCCCATAGGTACGGCAGACTGCAAGAGGCACTCCGCCAAAACACTTTCTCTCATCAGACTTACGGTAGCCGTATAATTAAGTACGCTAAAGTGCTATACATACCCTATATATAAATAAATATAATTATTAATCCTGTATAATATAATAAAAATTACTTACGACCGGAAGTGGTATAGATTATATAAGAGCAGTAAACTAGGCGGTATAAATAGGGCCACCGGGGTCTATATCTTTTTACTGATTTCTATTACTAATTAATATCCTCTTTTTCCTATCTAACTTAATATTCTTTAAGAGAGGTAAGTAACCCGCCTATACCCTTCTATTTACTTGTCACGGGCTGGAGCCCTGTATGGGCTTAGGCTACGCCGTAAGCCTTACGAGCCGTGCACACGTACTTAAGTGCAGCAGAATGAACAGAGAGGGATCTGTTCATTACGTACCTTTTAGCTAAATAAGCCCGGGTGCGCATTTAGCGCAATGGTTTGTTGTGTCTGCTGCCACATTTGCCCTTGTAGGGCCCACACCGTTACAGCACTCTCTTAGACCTTTTCATCTTTTATATAAATTAATTTAGCCATAACGTACAAAATCAATTAAAACTACATATCACCCTCTTCCTTGTTACTATTCTAAACTACTTTATAGGTTCGTATATTATATTTAAGCTTTCTGTAATTCTTATATCATTGCGCGCGTAGTTTAATATCTTTTATACGACCCTTCTTCTAAGTATTATTCTCTCCTCTAGCATTAACACTACTCTTTTCTACTTAAAGTACCTCTACTTTAGTAGTATTAAGACTAAGAGGTTAGAGGTAGGCAAAAAGGGAAAAGGTAAATCTTGGAAAGGTAAATCTTGGAAAGATAAATCTTTTACCTTATTATTTGCCTTATTATTCATATTACGTAAGCATATTATATATCATATTAATTTATAAGAGTTATAGATTAATATAGATACTGATCACGTAAGCAAAATTAGTTATGTAAGCTTACGTGAGCGAAAGAAGGCACTAAAAGGTAATAGAATGCGCTGTAATTTACTTGAAAGGTATTACGTATTACGATTACGCATTCACTTACGTATATGCTTATTAATTATTATATAAGTAATAAGCAATGGAATATTCTAGTCGGAAGATCTTATGCCTATATAAAGGCATCTTTTTACCTACTTAGACCTTTCGTTAAGCAAGCAACTTCTCATATAGTAATCTAACTATAGTTATACTCTCTTTACATATATCAACTTCTTTTATATACGCTTAACTATCCCTATATTCATATATTCTTGCTTCTATATAAATATTCACCATTTAATACACTAAGAGGTTAGAGGTAGGCAAAAAGGGAAAAGATAAATAAGTTGAGGTACGAGTTGGGATAATCAGAGAATCGATTGTATTGATGATTATTCTATGATATGATGGGAAAGTATAGTCTATATATAATATAAATATCACATGTAATCATATGTAATCACATGTAATCACATGTAATCACATGTGATGCCTAAGTCCGAGCATTAAGTTTATACGGGCATATGTGCCTGTCGGCGCTTTAACATGTATATGTAAAGCGTATTTACGTACGGGCTGTACGTGCGTACAAAGCGTTGTATCTCAGTAGATACGTACTTCAGTTGAGTGTTACGAGCAGGTCAAGGCAATCAACTGTGGCACAAAGCAAAAGCTTTGATAATGATGACTCCGCATCATTTTCCCTTGTTCTGCATTATATAGCTACGCCATGACGGGACCAATCGTTTAGGCCGTAACACGTACGTACACCCCTCTACTGGGAAGCTGTCCGACAGCGACCTATAATAACCGATTATTATATTAGATTATTATATTTAGTTATATTATAGACCGGAGCCGGTCGAGATGTCCGGCTTTACCGGAGCCACTATTCTACCATATTATACCGCCTAGTCCGGGTACGTTATATTATAGCTATACATATATCCTTATAATTCCTCCTTTTTTCCTCTTTAGCTTAAAATAGTCAATCGACGGCACCTCTACGTTGAACAAGCCTAGGGGCCAGCCCCTTACAAAAGGTAGAGGCAGCTCTTCATATAGACATTTTCGGGTCTTTTTCGATAGCTTGGAGGGCAAGGATAATTCGACTTTCAATTGAGAAGGATTGCACGTTCGTATGTAGAGAAAAGGTGTCCTAAAGATGAAGAGGATAGAATTAGGAGGACGTGCGTCGCTTGCTATGATGCGTCGCTCGCTATGCAAGTACGTTAAACCTCATCTATAGTTTATCTTACTAATATAAAGTTTAATAATCGGTAGTGGGGTGACTATAAAATTCGATTTCTGCTTTGACGTATGAAAAAGGTGTTTTGGCGTAGTGCCTCTTGCAGTCTGCCGTACATAGGCATCGAAACGGTTAGGTTCAAGTTCGGAAAGGGCAAAAAGTGGTTGGCTTTTCAACCTGAATTGGGCCGCCCCAACGACGCTTGGCACCGTTGGCACGAGCTTGAGCAACCTTATCCTACCTAAGCCAGCGAGACACCTGCTGGTAATAGTACGTCGTCCTGATGGGGCATGGATTCTCCGTGCTTCTGAAGACTCGCTGCATGTCACCCTCAGAGAGATATCACGCGGTTCAAGACAGTAACATCGGTCATTATCGCTCTCGACTATAGCAATTACAATCTAAGCCACTTTGTCGACTCGAGAAACATCTTGCATAAAAGTCATCGCTTCCAACCTTTGACCATGGCGGTAAGCATGTATACAAAAACACGCTGTCGCTTGTGCGCAACTGGTGACTTCCTCATGTCCCTCTGTCCAGCGGCCAGCCAGTTCCTATAGCTGTCAGGTTTCCTATCTAGCCGATATGACAAGCATGTATCACTCAACATCTACTGCCTCGCCCAGGAGACAAGTGATTCTTCCAGATCTTATGACAGGGGCTTAAGTTTGCACTATCGATTCAGAACCCAGTTCCTCAAACTGAGTACATCCTCACACATTGGTCACGACCATAAGCAGTACCGAGGTGGCGCCAGAGACCTCGCCAAATACTACACCACAAGCTTTCGCTGGCTTCCGAGCTTTGATACTCCTGGTACCTGGAAGGAAGCGCAAGAGGCTTGCAGAGGGCGTGGAGATCTGCAGGTTTGCCTTTCTCCGGCTCGAGATCTCTTCACAGGTGCCGGAGGACATGCCATCCCGATGATGGTCGCTCTAAGATCGTACACTCAGCGTTGATGAAGTTCCATCTTCGTGGAGCTTTGCGCTAACGATGTATTCAACAGGGCACATCCGAACCAGCACTCGATGATGGCGCTGGTCATGTGTAGGAGGTTTCCCATCTTGATCTACCACATCATCGTGGAGCACTTGAGATGCAACCTTACTCGTGAGTAAGGTACGTTTCTGGAACCCTTCATCCTTGGTTCAAGAGTCTACACTAGCTGTGACGGATATACGTAGGATCGGTAGTGCGATAGTATTTGGTCTTGGCGTAGGAGACTCGAGGTAGCAGTCTGAAAGTTTCTAGCACATTGCTAGTAAAACACCTCACCCTTCATCAGCACCCGAGCCGTGCGGCGAAGATCCGCCGACACGATCTCGCCATTGTCGAACGTGGCCCCTATATCCACCTTACCGCTTGGGTGCCCAATGACGACAGACTCCTTCGCACAGCGACCATTCATGAGCTCCGCCGGGATCGTGCCGGGCAACTGACTAGCAGCCCCGAGACACAGCGCAAGCGTCAACGGCACGGCCTTGTGCGCCTGGCCCATGGACAGTGCCAGACACCGGATATCGACGTCATCCGCGCGCGTCTCAGAGAAGAGCAGCACGATCTTGGGCACGCTCTCCACGTCCGGATTCAGACCCATCATAGACGCACCAGCGCGTCGGATTCCGTCTAGCTTGGCCTTGAGCGCAGCGTCCGCCTCGACGGCCTGCGGCGTGAGGTCTTCGGGCGAAGGAATGCCCAGGTCGGCGGCGCGGACAAAGACGCCCGGGTTGCTGACATCCACGAGCGAAGCCTGAATTGTGCTCGCGTCCGGGAGGAGGAGCCAGTCACGGGGGTTTCCCGTGGGAAGGGCTTTGCCCGTCTTTGCGCCGGCCGGGTCCAGGAAGCTGAGGGTGATGGGGGAGGCGGTGCCGGGGACGCCGTCCATGATGTAGGCGCCATCTGGGGCGTATCTGGGTGGGTTTATCCCATCGACGACGACCCTGAAGCGTGATGAAATGACTTTGGACGTGTTGGTGTTGAAGATGCGCACGGTAGCGAACGTCTGGCCGTCGGCCCCTTGTTCGAGGCGTGGGTTTGGGATGAGCCCCTCATCTAGACTCATGGGACCGACTGTGGAGGAGAGGTTTCCGCAATTGCCTGCCGTGTCGAGACTGCCGTCCTTGATGCCGACTTGGACAAAGGTGTAGTCCACGTCGACGTCGGGCCGCGAGGGCGGAGACAGTACGACGATTTTGGAGGTTGATGAGATGCCTGAGCCCATTCCGTTGAGCTGGCGGCCATAGGGGTCCGGTGAGCCCATGGCGGCGGGTAGTACTTTGTGCCATTCGTTTGCTGGCGGGAGGTTGTGTCTATGGACGACGAGACCATTGGACGTTCCGCCGCGGACGAAGAGCGCGGGAAATGACCGTGATGAATAGGGGCGCGTCGATGACATGTTTGAGGAGAGTCTGGATAGCGCAGAAGAAGCAGCGCTCTTGGTGTTTCTCAAGAGACTGCGATTGAGTTCTTGTAGAATCATCTTTGCCAATGATTGCGGCAATGAAAACAATTCTTGTTGTTGATGTTATTGCAACGGGCAGTTCTTTGCGGTTGCTTTTCCGCATGATTTCTTACCCACCACGCGGGAAATGTCCGTACCTGGGCCACTTTGAGCCACTTTCACTCGGCGTGGCGTCCGTCTACAGGGGTCGTGTCGTGTACCACTAAAAGCCGTTAAGCATCGCCAAGCCGGAAGTAAACGAGGAGGGTCCCTGCAGCGATGCTCTCGAGAGCATCACACATCGTCCCTGCTGCATTGTGAGCAATTCATCATATTGTGACTTGCAGAAGTACTCAATATCATGTCGCACGCGGTTGAGTCTCAAGCAGGATAGAGTCTTTGAGAAGAGGAGAGCTTGGAAGATTCATTTACCAAGTTGAGAACCCCGGCGTCCCGACGACTGATTGATCGGCCGAGTACTGACCGAATCGGCACCGAAACCATTCAAGTTCAAGCCACCCGGGTCTGAGGCTTGTAAGACCGTCTGAAGTCGGGCATCATGTCCGCTAAGCTGGAGATAAGCATGGACATAAAAAATGGGCGTTTCGGGTTGCGGGAACAAGCTTAATCATGGTTCTCGAGAACGGTCGATAAATTATCTTCATAGTCCCCCTCCCCGTCTCATCTCATCTGTCGTCGTCACTATAGCCACGATTTTGAACCACAACACAAGTAGCTATTAATCAATCAACCTTCGTTTTACTACGCACCATAGGAATCTCACAGCCGCCAGAATGAGTACGTACGTCGAAGTCACTCTGAGTTGGCTCCTCAAGAACTCCCGCGCCCACGACGCCAAGTCCTTTTACACGTCCCCCGCCTTCGCCTCTCACACAGAACAGACCATCACCGTCACATCGCCAGACTGCGGTGCATCTCCGGCTACCTTAGGCCCGGAGTACATCACAGAGGGCGGCGGCCGTATCCCCGCGCTCTCATGGTCCGCGCCGCTGGACCTCGAGTCAAAGGTGAAGGAATGGCTCATCGTCGTTGAGGATCCGGATGCGCCGCTGCCGACGCCCATCTGCCATGGGTACGTTAACGCACGAATACACATCAAACCTGATTTTCTGAAGGAAATTGCCGACTTACTGATTGCAAGCGTCTATGGCGGAATCGCGCCTGAAAAGAAACAGGTGAACCCAAAAGACTTTGAGATTGAAGACGAGAGCAAATCTCTCTTGAAAGGAGGTTTCCATTGGGGCAAGGGACGTAGGGAGGGCGTGTATGTTCCTCCACGGCCTCTCATGAATCACGGCACCCACAGATGTGAGTCTCATCTCTCTTACAACGAGACAGAACCGCGAGATTGACTGTCGACAGACTTCTTCCAAGTTGTGGCTCTGAGCGAGCCGTTGGACAAGACGATGCTGGAAGCTCGGGCTACGAAGGAACAGGTCGCCGAAGCCATTCAGGGCAAGGTTCTAGGTTGGGGAATGTGGGTTGGAAGCTGTGAGAGGAAGTGGACATGATGTTGAAGATGAAAATTTCTAATGTTTGGTGCCATCTCTACGATGATTATGAAGTGTCTCATGGGGTACATTCAGATACTTTGATGGGAAGATAAGCATAGTAACGCTTGATGAGATTGTCGATGTGAATAGGTGGTGTTAATGAGAGGTGACATTCAGCCGTCTTTCTCCATACGGCAGTAAACCGCGTTGACATGCTGCAAAATCAGGAGCGCAGCATCCCCCGACCCCAGGGTCGTGACACCCAAATACATCTCGTTCTCATCTCCACACTCAAAGATAGTCTCCATGTCCCTAACCTTTCTCAGGATCTCGCCGTCAGTCAACTTGGTGTTGCTGACCGCCTCATCACCCCCGACACACCTCCGGCCTGCAAGTCTCTTGACATTCTCATCCAAATCACAGCGTAACACGACCGAGATGAACGGCACGCCCCTTCTCTCGGCAGCCGCATTGTGATCTCGAGCAGCCCCGCTGCTCAAGGGACTAGACTCCCGGGCGTCTGTGAAGATGAAGGTCTTGCCCGCCAGCGCAGCATGTGTGGCGATGGCGTCGAGGGCCTGTTTGCGGAATGTGGTTCTCAGATCGTTGTAGGACTCGGCATCGTCTCGGTCGAGCATTGCGGCGACGTGGTCGATGACCAGGTGATTGTGGAAGACGCGGCTGCCTGGGATGAGTTTGGAGAGGGCGTTGGCGATGGTGGGTTTGCCGACGCCCGGGTAGCCGTTGATGTAGATGAAGCAGGCCATCGTCTTGTGAATGGTTTCCGTGGCACACAAATTGCTGAGCAAGGGCTTTACCAAGATGACCAAAGTGGTTATCGGCCTGATTTTAAGGTGGAAGCTGAGAGCTTTCTCCGAGCAAGGTGGCTTACACAAGAAGGTACCGCTTGCCCATTTTACGATCAGGCTCACTGCAAAACTTTCGAGGCAGTTGCGCTTTAGTGACTCACCAAGGTAAGACCAAGCTTCGCCCATCCACGGCCTGCCATAAAGCACAGTGACACAATTCGATGGATTACTGTCTCTTTATACCTTACCATGTCTCCAGCTTTACTGGCCATATCTATACAAGGTAGTCAACGGAACAGGCGTGCGTCAGTCTAAAGCGACCTAGTCTAGGATCGTGACGTCCAGGTAGGTGTGTATTGAGTAAGTTGAGTGCTACACGACGTGCGCCTGCGCCTGACTCGTCGCCTCTGTTGCAAAACACCACAAACTTCTCGCGATGATTCAAATGGCGGATCGAAAGAAAGTCATTTGCTTTGATGCTGGCTAGATTGTAGATCAAAAGTGCTTACCTTCAGGTAGAAGGAGGTACGGACAATGTCCGCGATAAGACCGCCGTTGAATCCTTCAGAAATAGTAAGCGCACGTGATCGTCTCCTCTTTCTCTGGTTGCGGTCGCGCCTGTTCTCCCAGCATTTCTCATCAAACCGCACTCCTCCTCACCTTTCTTTTGCATTGCCGAAACCGCGCCGAGTTTCCCTTTCTCTCCTCTCCACCTTTGCCATCAACAACTCACACAACCACAGCAGCTGCCAGCAAGTGAGCCAGACAATCAGAGCGAGCACCCACAACTGCGCCAGAATCGGCTCATTTAAACACAAAGAGGCGTTTAAACCTGACAAGGAGGCAGAGCGCACGCACGCACGCGCGCACCCTACCCTTACTTGATGGACCCGCCGCTCAAGAGCCCCGCGTCGGCACAGAGGGATACTTCGCCCAGCCCTCCCGTGCCGAACCGGATCCGGCGCAATACAGCCTGCACGAGCTGTCGCGACTCCAAGGTGGGCTTCCTCTCGCTTTCCTCTCCTCCCTTTCTGTACGGATACATACCTTTTATACACACCCTGGACCGGTTCATCTTGTATCTGTCCCTCGTCCCCTTGCATGGCTACCTTACCTCGTGGTGTTTTAATCTTTTAAACATTCTGCTGCCACACATGTCGCGCATGCTCCGTGCCCTTCCAACGCCTCTCCCGGTTCTTGTTCCCATTGGATCGCGGTTGGCATCCGGGACTCGGGAGGGACGGATGGGGGGGCACCTCGTCAGGTCCCCTGGGGCGCATCATGCAATGTCAGCAAACGTGCCGAAGACGTTCTGTTCCTTCGACGTTCTGTTTCCGCATATTCCGTTGCACTGCTATACCAAACATGACATCCCGTATGCTAACTGAATGTCTTTGGACGGCTGAAAATAGGTCAAGTGCAATGCGAGCTACACGCCCAACAAGCCATGTCAACGTTGCTCTAAGCTCGGCATACAATGTGTCATTGACAAGTCTCACAAGCGGATGACCAGAAGAAGGTGGCTTCCCTTTTCCTCTCCTCTCCTCTCCTCCCTGCCCCCAACCGCGCCCTGCTTGCCTTGCAATACCCTGTGCCTCATGTGTGTCCATCCAACAAAAGATCATGGTCTAACTCATCCGCCCTGTGTGAACATCAAACAGTAAACTAGAACAACTCGAAAAGGAAGTCCAAACTATCAAGAATGCCGTCAATCCGAGCCCCGTCTCCGCCACCGGCATACTACCCCCGGCCGCTCTACCCCTGCCGCTGCCGAGCCCGAGTACCGCCTACCCCGGAGCCGCAAGCGCCTTTTCGGACCACCGGCCGCCCCCCTCTGCGTCGAGGGTGAGTCTGCCGGCATTGTCTCCCGTTCAGCAGGCTCGCCAGCCAGAGCAGGTCCCGACGCCGACCCTCACGTCTCACACGACGCCCACAGGTCCCGCGAGGCAGCCCGCGCAGCCGAGGGCCCTGGGTTCCAAGGTCCTGTCTGGGGAGGATATTGACTTTTACTTTGATCAGTGAGCTACCTCGACCCCTCTTCCTACTGGATTCCCCTTCCCCCAGCGTATTACCCATATCAGAGAAGCAGACACTGAGAGGTCATGTGAAAAAGCTATTTCGAGCACTTCCACCCCTACTTCCCCATCGTCCGCTCCCAGGACCCAGACAAGCTCTACAAGCAGAGCCCGATCCTCTTCTGGACCCTCATCGCCATCTCCTCGCGGCGGTACACCCGCGACGCCGGCCTCTTTCCCTTCCTCATCGAGAACCTGCCCCGCGAGGTCTGGGCCGCCGTCTCGAGCCCGCCCATCACCATGTCCACTGTCGACGCCCTACTCGTTCTCTGCACATGGCCCTTGCCCTCCATTCGCTTCCTCAACGACCCGTCGTCCTCGTACGTTGCCATCGCGCAGAACGCCGCGCTGCTGCTGGGCTTGCACACTGGCCGCGGCACGCATCCGGAGTTCTGTATAGGGCCGAACCGGCAGACTGATATTACTGACGAAGAGGCGTGTTTTACGTGGATGGGGTATAATATCCAGGCTCAGAGGTATGTCTTTGTTCTTTCATAAAAGTCTGTGATTCAGTTCTGGCAAATAGTTTCTGACTACATGATATAGAGTTGCCTCAAGTAATGGTTTCCCGCCTCCGGCCGGCTTCTTCAACGAAGCCGTCAACAGGGCTGCCGGCGGGCGATCTCTCCCCGATGCCCTGGGGTACTTTGGCCTGCTGTACGAGATGCAAAAGTTCTCCAACAGGCTGAGTAGGACCGTCTTCTCCGTCGCCGAAGAAGGCGAGGGCGTACCGGACACCGTCATTCAGCTATTGGAAGACGAGCTGAACAAGCTGAAGCAGCTACAGGCTCGGCACAACTCTGGTTCGTAGCAACTGATTCTCTTTGGCTCCCCCCTCTTTGACCGCAGCGTGAACCTCCCTTTGCTGATAAATCCAGACCTCGACCTCTTCACCATCCTAGCAGTCCAATTCGAGCTCCAATCCTACTACTTCATCCCCCTCTCCACCGTAGACGAACCCACCTTCCGCCACAACGTAAACCGCGCCTACAGCACAGCCCAAGCCCTCATCAACCTGTCATTACGCCTCGAGTCCTCACACCGCTTCCTCCTACACGCTCCGCAACACGTCTTCCGCACCATCCTCGACGCCGCCGCCGTGGTGTTCGACGTCCTCGTCTCGGGCCACGCCACGGACGTCGAGCTCGCCAACGCCGACGTGTCGGTCAAGAACGCGCAGGAGGCCCTGCGGCGGTGTTCCGTGCAGGAAGGCGATTTCGCGATGCGCGTGCTGCGCATGTCGGAGAGTTATTGGAGTCTGCGGCACATGATGCCCAAGCTGGAGGCGCCTATCTCGCAGTACCCCCATCGTACGGGTGCTGTTATTGCGTTTGGGACGCTGAGGAGGTGGAAGAAGGAGCTTGATCAGGCGAGGGTCGGGCAGGGCGGGTCCGGGGTCGGTGGTGTTGGTGTTGGTGGAGGAGGAGGCGGAGGAGCGGGTGGACAGGGGACGGGGGCGGGGGCGGGGGCGGGGGCGGGGGGCACGGCGTCGACGCGTGAGTGCAGGGGCGGCCGGGGGTTCGGTGTGAGTGTTGCTGACCTTGTGGTAGCGGCGGCGACAGATGCGAACGCGAGCGTCGTGCCGACGAGTGACCCGCTGCAGGATATCGACTGGTCGATGCTCATGGACGACTTTGACTGGACGGCCGGGGGTGGAGGAGAGCCGAATTTCCTTGGTCTTTCATAGTAGGTGTTGTTTGCCTGTGAGAAATGCGGCTAACGTGCGCGTGCGTTTCCCTTGGTATCTTTCTTCCTTTCATTCCCTTTTTTCCTGCAAGCAAGCCGGAGCATTTTGGTGTTTGGGTGGGTATCTTGCATCATTTTGGGACGTACATTGGGGAGCTATATGACTTGAGAAGGGGTTCTGAAGCTTGGTGTTCATGTTGTCGTACAAAAGAACAGACTGAGCAATTTTTAATGACATATCGTGAACATGCATTGAAGCTATCGTGCTTTAAGAACATATCCGACTCACGACAGCTCACTCTATCCTCCCAGTGCTCCAAATATTCAGCCCGACCTTGACGCCCTTCTTGACCGGTAGTCCGGCATGCCACGTCTCATCATACCCGGCACCGCTCCCGTCAGCACGGAAATTCTCCCAGTACACCGCGTTTCCCGGAACAGGCTTGAAGGTAGTCCCTTTGCCCTGCTCATCATCGCCCAGCTTCTTCTCATCATCACCACCATCACCAGCATCCCTCCCACCATATTCCACAAACTTACACCAAACCTCCCTCTTCAACCCACCCACCTCCAACAACGGAAACTCCGTCCCGCCACCAACCAACCCTTCCCCGTTCCCTGTCCCAGCAGGTACTTCGTTCTCGCTCTCATCCCCGCCTCGAGCGTCGACCCACGCCATCATACTACTCACCCGGCCCCACCCGCCGCGGTTGGCGGTCCAGTCGAAATGGTACGAATAGTGCCCGCCCTCGACGTACCGCTGCGTCCGCAGCCTCTCGATCCAGAGGTCCTCGCGCCAACCCTGGAGGGCGCGGGCGCGGGCCTCGATGCAGCGGACGGTGTCGTCGCGCGGGAGGAGGGCGACGTCGGAGGAGCGGATGGAGGTGTCGCGGTGGGTGTTTGCGCCGTTGTGGGTTATTGTTGAGGGTTCGAAGATGGGGTTGCTGTTAGGTTGTGAGTGAGTGTGTGAGACGGGTTTGAGTTTGAGATGAGTTTGAGTGTTGTGGGTGTTGATAACAATGAACGCTTGTCTTTGGAGAGGGCATGGGTTCATCTTTCATCTCATCCGCATGCAGACAAACGTAAATGAGTATATGTTTGTGTAACATGACATTTTTCAATCGAAGAATTGGGAACATTCCAAACAGAAAAGAAATAAAATATAAAACAGCAAAGAACATACCTTATCTCAAGTAAATGCTTCCGTTCCTCCACACTCAAAAACCCTTCAATATACAACACCAGCGGCTCCTTGGAAAAGATGCGCACAGAGTAGTCGTCGGGCGGGCACGACAGGGCCGTGGCGTTGGCATGTTCGATGGCCAGCAGGGACTCGTTCATCTGCGGCCGGGGCGTGCGGGCCACCCGGCTCCGGCTGCTTGTGCTCCGGCCATCGGACGACGAGAAAAAGTTGACGAGGGGGTCGGGGAAGAAGACGAGGAAGGCCACGAGGGCGATGACGTAGGAGATCATTGCTGGGCTGGGCTGAGATGCATTGGCGGCCTTGGGGTTTTGTCAATTGGCAATGATTGGGTGTGACTTCTTTTGAGATGAAGAGGTAACAAAGTGAAGAACTGAGAAATGTCGTTGAGATAATCAGGCGACTTTCATGTTGGAGGCTTCCGCGTCGCCCGCATCGGGTTCTGCGGTGTTGGTTGTTAAGGGGGGCTCCGCCACAGCCGGGCCGTGCAAATCCGCGACACACTGTAAGGGCCTGGGAATATGCGAGATGATCCTTAATTCATCTTCAACTGCCTCACATGGGATTACTTAATCAAATTCAATCACTATAATGAACCAAAAAGAGTTCACCCCCCCGGTGCTGAACTGGGGGCTACATCTCTGGGTGCTCATGCTGGGATTCGAACTCGGGTACTCGCTAAGCCTGTCGTCGAGTAGGCTGGTTGGCGTTTTGATTGTTGACCATATACCACTCCACCATCCAGCCAGTTTGACCTGACCCCCGACCCAGAGGGCGCCTGCTGGCTGGTGACAGTAATAAAATTGAGGAGGTCTATATACCCTCAAGGTAAGGCAGTAAGGCAAGGTGGTGGTGGTGGTATATTTCATATGTGTATTCATACTACTGCTTCTTCTTCTCCCCAACGTACGCCCCACCGCGCCTTCCATACCCCGTCTTGGAGTACGCCGCCACAAGCCTCCACAAGACCCACGCGAATCCAACCACCACCGCAGCCGCCGTCCCGGCGCGAACCCACTCTGCCTGCCCGGCCTCGAGAACCGGCACGCGTACGGTGCTCGTGAGCCGACCTCCGTCTCCTCCTCCGACAACGGGTCGCGGCTCCACGTGCCAAAATACCGTCCTCGGCCCAAATAACGCGTCGTACCCGAGATTCACCCTCTCGAACGGGCTGCTCGGGAACTTTGTCCCCTCTTCTGACGAGCACGCCCAGAAGACGGCCGGGTAGGGCACCTCTACCTCGGTGTATCCGCCCGCCGCGGGTTCGAGGTAGCGGAGGTGGAGCGGAATCTCCGCCGTCCAGTCCTGGTTCTTCTTCCCCTTTTCTGTTGTAGGCGGCGCAAGCTCAAGCAAAACACCGGAGCCCCACGGCTTCGTGGCGTACGCGGGCGCCTCGAGGTCGACGGGCGAGCTGGCGTAGCGCAGGGCGGTCAGGTTCTTGGACTTGAGGAATAGGCCGTCCGCGAGCTGGTAGCGGTCCGCGAAAATGGTCTTTGGCAGCGTGAGGTGCGCGTGGACGGCGCAGTAGGCGTCTTCCACCGGCGGCTCGGCCGAGCCGAAACGCAGCTGCAGCGTCGGGTGCAGGCCCGTTGGTTCGAGGAACGCTGCGGAGAAGGAACTGGTGGTGCTACTATGCGATGCCTCGTCTCCCGCCACGTCCGAGTGAAGCCGGTGGCGGGCGGGCACGTTGAAGAGGACGGGCGCGGGCTTCTTGTGCTCGCCGAGGACGGTGAGGCCGCCTGCCATGCCGATCTCGTGCGGCTCCGGCTTCGCGGTGGAGTCGGCTGTGAGGATGCCGACTTCGGTCCTGTGGTTCGAGGTCGAGGCGACGGCGATGCGGTGTTTGCCGTAGGGCCACTGTGCGGTGAGTTTGAGGGCGTGCGAGATTGTGTCGTAGGAGATGTCAAAGGATGCTGCTGTCTTGAGATCCTCAGCGCGAGACTTGCAGTTTGTGTCTGATGCCGCGCAGAGCTTCTCGGCTGTGTACTGGCTGAAGGCGGCGAGGCTCTCTAGGGGCTCGTAGTATTGGAGCGCTGCGGAGTGAGAGAACCTGTCGTTGGGGAGGGTTGTGAACGACTTTTGTGTGACAGAGTTAGTTTCAACCGCTTTGCCTGGTGGGGTGTGAAGACCGGATTGTGTGTATAGCTTACCTCTGACGATGTACAACTGCTGCCACCAAAGGCCTCCTTGAGAGCTGCGCATAGTTTTGTACTTGATCTTATGTTAGTGTGTTGTTTGATACTGATGACACCCTTGGGTAAGACTCACGCATCCCACTTGACCTCCTCCTTCTTTGGCGTATAAAAGAGATGGAAACCTGGTGATAACCTCGAAGCCAAAGGGCCAATAGTGTCGTAGGCGAACGGGCTGACCCATCTAATGTGCAACTCATGACTCTCACTCAGAAGCTGGGATAGCTCAGAGGGGAGCTCCTCAAGGGCCAAGGTTACTCTATCTTCCCGGACGGATAAGAGCTCAGGTCCCTTTACGCCGGCATCGCTAACCTCGAGAGACTCCGGAGGCGCGCCGTCACTGGGCTTATGAATAAAGGTGATTCGCTGACGCATCTTGAGTGATGGCCTACGCAACACAACTGCAGACTCGGCAACTTAGTTCCGGTTCAATGTGAGCGCTCTGGATGTTACTTGAGGATGAGTAAATGAGCTGGATGCAAGGTGGTAAGTCAGGTCAATGAAGGTGGATTCTCCGGTGACGTGAATGGGTTGGTGTGATCAGTGAGTGAACAGTGTGCTCGGATGGGTCCGTTGGCATCGATGTCGGAGCTGGAGACCCGTTGCTGAGGACACTTCGCTCGGTGCCGAATCCAGGGGACTTGTCCACTGACTCCACTAAGGTCTCTCTCAGTACACCAGCCACACTCAGCCACAGAACATTTGGTACGTACAACTGGGCTTAGGTAAGTAGACACGTGTGGGGGCTAAAGACAGACCCATAATTATACGGGTCCAGGCCGCCCTGCCACATTCGGTCACCGGCTCATCAGCCACGCTAAGCCGTTTTAGTTACCGAAGCTGGCGCGGAGTGCGATGCCCCTCCAGATCGTCCGCCCTCCGTCGACCGAGACGAACGGGGCCTTGTCGAAGGACACCGCCGACGACATCTTTTTCTTGTTTTTCTCTCTCTCTCTCACGCCAGAGGCTCTCATTTGACTTCCCTGACGATGCGTCAGACGCCCCTTCGAATTCTACAGACTTCTTGGCTTTCACGGCCCTCCTAACATTTTCTTCTCATGATATGCCTTTAATGAAGTTTTAGATTGTAAACAAAAATACAACCGGCGCTGTGTTTCTACATGTGGCTACGAAAGCGCATATAGCTACGATCGAAACACCTGCATATCAGCTTCTAGCTCAACCAAACCTTGCTTCGGAAGCTGGTGAATATGGGCGATCACCAGCCGTACGTGACCATTCGGTCTCGGCGACCTCATGACGGGAACAGCGTGAGCAGTGCAGACTCGACTGTAGGTGCCAGGATCTCGTCGATCCAGTCGCGCAGAGTACGTGTAGACTCACAAACCGGCCATGACCAGTACGGTTCAAGCTCCGGCGATACGCCTCGGCCCGCCACACACGATATCAGCCGCGTTAGCTATCACGTCAAGCACCTCGATGCCTTTGCTCAGACCCTGGAGAATGTAAGTGAAAAAGGTGATGTGGTACTCATCGCGTCATAAAGATACTGACGCTTCCCGGCAAAAGTCTGCAAACAGGGCGTTTCCGAATCGCGGGAAATCATCACAGCGATATTCAAAGGTCCAGGCCTTGCTCCTCCACTGGGGCTGTGACGACCTCTTTGTGTTGCCCGAGTTGGAGGATCTGGAACGGTACCTCCGCGAGGACTATGCTTTTGACACGGAGATCTTTCCTATACCGTCTGAAAACTCACATCTAGAGCTCATGATGCAGGTCGGCAAGCTGATCAAAGACCACGAGGCCCAAGACACGCTCTTTTTAGTCTACTACGGCGGTCATGCCAGGATAGACGAGTCTCGTCAGAGCACTTGGTGCGCGTAAGTTGACAATATCATCTTACCTTCACCACGCACATTCTCACAGAACATTAGCACTCGACATCCCGACTCGGCCTGGCTACAGTGGTCCGCAATCCAGACCCTGCTAGAGCGTTCGGCCTCCGACGTTCTCATCCTCCTCGACTGCTGCGCGGGAGCGGCAAGCGCAACGTTTCCCAACGGCAACAGCATCACCGAGACCATATCCGCCTCGAGCTGGGACGCCATCGCCCCGGACCCGGGCCGCTACTCCTTCACAAACGCCCTCATCGAGGTGATGCAGGAGTGGAGGCTCCGCACCTTTTCCGCGGCCATGTTGCACGCCGAGGTCCTCGCCCGCCTGAAGCACCCGCGACCCGTCACCATCAACGGCAAGGTATTTGAGGCCAGGTCGACGCCGGTTCACTTCATGATGACGTCGAATCACAAGGCGCCGAGCATCGAGTTGTCCCGGGTCGTGCCGCCTGAGCAGCGGCCACCGTCGCCGCCGTTGGATGCCGCGATGATCGCAGAAGGCAACGGATCGCCTGAAGGGGTTACGGGGGGGCGAGGGCCTGGCGCTCCATTATCGGGAGAGCCGAACGAGGATACGCCGCATGTCATGATCTCACTGGCACTCGAAGACAATCAGCAATTAGACTTGAGCGCTTGGGAGCAGTGGCTGTCCAACTTCCCAGCCCTGGCGAAATACGTCAAAGTTCAGGGTGTTTTCAAGAGTCATTCCACATTGCTCCTCTTGTCTATGCCAGTCATGGTATGGGATCTTCTGCCCGAGGACCATGCGACCTCGTTCATAGCCTTCATTCGGTCCAATAACCTGGTGGTTGAGAGGATTCATAACAAAGACGAGGAGGCTAAGGTGAGCACTCCGGTAAGTAGAGGCGCTCGTGTAGTACAAGACAACACACAGCCGGAATCTGCGTCAATGGGCACCTTTTTCTCGGATGTCACCTATACGAATGCTCCAACGGAAAGAAGCGTCATGGAGGCGCAGGTGAGAGGCAGTGGAGCAAATGTGAGATTGAATGAAGGAGGACCGATTAGTATCCAGGAGTCAGAGATGGGATCACCATCATCATCGCCAGTCGTCAGACCAACGCGTTCGCTCCCGTTTCCAAACCCAACAGCTTCAATCGAAGCCTTGCAACGGCACCACACCTCATCTTCTCAAGTATCATCGGAGGGGCCACCGATATCCAGATCAATGATTCCGAACCAGCAGAGAAGCGCGCGGGTAACCATGTTGTATGATATTCCAGAGCCGCCCAAGTTCTCACAGCATGTCGAGATCTTGCTCCAACAATATTACCGGCAAGAGCCGCTACCCAACGATGATCAAAAGAACTTTGTTGCCTCAAATCTTGGGATAGAGCTGTGGCACGTCGAGGTAGGCTTTGTCACTTAAACACTCCCCCCGTCTTCAGAATGGCATAGTAACTGTAGCAGGCCTGGTTCCATCACCGGCGGGAACGAGATATCGTCTCGCAGCAATTCCAAGCCCTTAGAATGGGCGGTGATCCGGCACCGGTGGCATCCAAAGGAGCCCAGATGATACTGCCGCATCATCTTCAAAGAATCATCGAGGTCCTATCTTCTAGCAGGATCCTAATGATTGACATCCGTCCACCGGCTGACTTTGAGAAATCTCACATCAAGGGGGCAATCAACCTCCGCGCCCCCCTAAGCTTCATCAGAGAAGCCTCGTTCGACATGATCGAGCGAGCTTTCCCAGACCAAGGCAGCAGACAGGTCTTTGGCGAATGGCAATCCGCCACATGCTTGGTCGTCTACGACCGCGTCATAGACGCCTCGCAGGAGTGCCCCCTCGCCGACGTTCTCTACGACAAGTTCAGAACCTGGGGCTGGCCAGGCCGATGTTTCGTCCTCAAAGGCCACTACAAGGAGTTCAGCGTCTCGTACAAGACATCCATCACCGGATCCAAGGTGTCGAGCGAGGCAGGGCATCAGCAGCAGCAAAACCCGGATCCCCTCCGCCAAAAGACATCGACGGCCGCACCGTCAGAGACTGATGACGCGGCGGCGAGAAGGAGAGCACAGTACCAGGAACTGCTGACTCAAATCGACAACGAGGGCATAGTGGCCAACACCAGCAGCAGCAATAATAGCGGTAGCTATTACGCCTCGTCGTCGAGGCCCGATCCCAACCACAACCACAACCACGACGACCACGACCCGTCGGCCACTAGCTCGGGCCGCGGCGCGCGAGCCACGACGAGCCAGCATGAACGAGACCTCGAAGCCGAGTTCCGGCGTCGCGTCCCGGACCTCTACCGCAAAGCCCTGGAAGTCCATGACAGCAGCGGCAGTGGCGGGGGCCGGGCTGCCGAGACGCCGTGCGACGCCTCCGCTTCTGCCCCCGCCCCTGGCGCTGCTGATTACACTGGTGCTGGCAGTGGTGGTGATGGGGCAGGAATAGCAGAAACGGTGACGGGTACAGCAACAGCATTGCAATCAACAGAGAAAGCAGCGACAGGAATAGAGACGAGTTGGGACGGCTCTACCTTGCGACGACGACGAGTAGTGGACGCCGGCGGTGACAGAGGTGGAGGTGGCAACAACGACAACGACAACGACAACGACGAGGATGAGGACGGGAACAGCAGTACCGCAACCTTTGGATTCGACACAAAGGCGCCGCTGGTCGAGTATCTCGACAGAGGCCTCTCCCACATCCGGCAGGGGAAACCCGTCACGTCCGCCGCGACTGACAGCTGGCGGCCCATCGACAAGGCCCCGTCCCCTTTATCGTCGCCGTCGTCATCGCTGTCATTGACAAACACCACCAACACCGCGATTGGTGGGATGTCGAAACTTGCCGCGGAGGGCTGTCACGCCCAATTTGACTCAGGGGCCGCCGCAATCGCCCTCGCCACACCGCTGGGTTCTTCGGATGATTCTTATGTGAAGATCAGCAGGGGGGATGCGCAGTACGCGGGCGATCTCCCTGCTGCTGGTGTTGGTACTCCCCCGAACCCGGGCCATCATCAACAGCAGACGTACCATCATCACCACGGCGGCCTCGTCGGGAGCAAAGACGGGACGACGAGGGATGCCCACGTCGTTGGTCCGCCCGGGGATGAAACGCCCAAAAGGGGCCGGGGCGGTTTCCTGAATAAGGTTCTGCGAAGGGCATAAACGTTGAAAGCGTGCTTGTCCCTTGTTGTCTACTACATACCAACGGGTGTATGGTTTTCTTCGAGAGTTGGGAGGGAACTTCTTTTTCCGAACATGGGGCTGGCTTGAAGGATTGCGACCAGGAAAGGGGGGAAGTAATAGATGTGATGCTCGTGGCGTTCGTCTCAGGAACGCTTTTCTTTTCGCGAGCTGGCGTCTTATTTCGGACTTTTGGTTTTGGACGGAAGTTGTATGGTGTGTGTGTGTGTGTGTGTGTCAATGTCGATTGTCAGGGCACAACCAAGCAAGAGCCCATCAATGGAGGAAAGTTGGGTTGGGTTAGGAACCATCTATGGACTCACACAACAAGCGATGCTATTCACGACACGCCACCACCAACACCACCACCTTGTTACTTTGAGCTTTCTACTTTGAGCCTTTTCTTTCCCCCCTGATTCGATGTTTTGGGATCAGGGGCAACTTTCTACTTGGCATTGACGGGGCAAGAACAGAATATGAGCATACTTTGGTTTGGTTTGATTCCGGTCTGGAGTATGTAGTCTTATTCTGGTGGTTGCAGTGTCAGTCCTTGGCGTTCAAAACAGTTCGGAGAGAGAGAGAGAGAGAGAGAGAGAGAGAGAGAAAGAGAGAGAGAGAGATTTCACTTTTACACAAGCGAGTGCTGGTTGGGTGGTGGGCAAGGAATAGGTAATGTTGTTCGGAAACCGGAGTATCGTAGTTTATCGAACATGGACCACATTGGGACAAGATAATCGCTATGCAGTATCAGCAGCAGCAGCAGCAGAACCTGGCCACAGCCTTGTAAGGTATTCCCCCCTCTTCGTCTATTCTGTTTCCCGTCTGCTATGCTTCTCTACTCTATCCCGCCTCTCCATGTTGTATCGTATATGTACATGTGGTCATATGTTGGCCCCTACAACCTGTCCATGCTCCCCTCGCTTTCGCGCCTCTGCCTGTTTTCGTCCCTTCTTTAAAAATAGGATAGTCACGTAGTCGTTTGGAGATATAGGCGAGAACAACGCTCCTGCCTGTTTCTCAATTCTCCAAGGGGAGGGGGGGTTTGGTTTGGCTTGGTGGTTGGGCTGGGTTATGTCGTTGAACAGACGGACGTTCGACAAAAAGACAAGTGGGGCATGATGGGAAGACGGATGATGAGAGAGTGTGAGAGATGCGACGGAAAGGGTAATCCCTCTTCCCACCTCTATATTCAGGCACTTCCTCAGTAGAAAGGCTGTACTTCTGTATCCTCATCATGGGTCACCCCTCCCCGTGACCCTTTCTTCCCGTCTCTTCGGGACGTTTCTGTCTGGGCTTCATTCAAGCATACAAGGGCGAACAAGAGTCCGACAACCAGACGCAGACCAGACAGACCCAGCACCGCCTTGTAGCACCGTTCGTCTCGAACGAGCCAAAAAATAAATAATTTGTCAAATACTTTTTTTTTCCCCTTCTTGGTACGTGCCAACCCTTGACGTTTTGGAAATCCGCAAGTTCTCAATGCTTGCTCTGCCCTTTCTTTTCTGCCTTTTCCCCCCTATTTTTCTACTTCGTACTTGGACAGCACTCCCCTCCTAACGTCTTTCCCCCCTTGAACCCGGAAGCTCGGGTATCACGTCATCCATTTCTGATCAGGGTTTTGCTATGCTTCACAAACCCCAACTCTCAACAAGAGCAAAGACACATACGCAAGCACCAGAGGAGACAGACAGTAAGAGAAACAGCAAGTCGAGTCAAGACAGGCATATCCTTTTCCCCTTCTAGTCGGGCTTACCCATGCCTTGTCTTATTTGTCAAAAGGTCCGGACGGAGATGGTTGGAAAAGGGGGCATACAGGGAAAATCTCCAACGTAAGTAGGACGAAGGGGGGAGGGGAGGGGAGGTTTACCCGAGTTCTATCTACTCTACAGGGTTGCAACAGTTACAGTGGTTGATCATAGATCTGTGGCGAGAGATAATCAGTGTAGATCCCCTTGTTTCCTATACTACAAACCGCTGTTTGTTTATACCATGGGGGTTTTTAGTTCCAATATATTGGCTCAGCTTGTAGTAGTGACCGTTGCTCGGACAGTAATCTCAGGATCATCATCAGCTACTTCATACGAAGTAAAGCTTGGAAATCACAGTTGAAGAAAGACAGAAACATCACGAGTAGCTGGTTGGTCACCTTAGGAGGGGAAGAAACTGGTGTCCGATCCGAAGATATGCAGGTTTCGATCCCATGTGTGCAAGTCAACCTACGGCACTTCAGTCTCACAATCGTCCGAGTACGGGATCCTCAACGGTCAGGTCGAGAGCGGTTGTGCCTGGTCTGATGTCGGCTCTCGCGTGCGGTGTCCAAGTGTGCGGGACACATTACGCTAGTCCCAGCGGGCGTTTGCCAGGTACGGGCAAGTATCTATTGCATGGCAATGAGGAGGAGGAGGAGGTTGGGCAAGGACGAACGTCCGGGGGGCTCGCCGTCGCCACCGTCAGCGAGAAGCAGCAAGTCAGAGCGAGAGCGGCGGGAACATCTGTGTGCCTGCTGCCTTCTCATGTTCTTGCCGAGCTGTCTTGTCATTCAAGAGATGACCTGACCAATCCAAAGCTCGGCAAGACGAAGGTCAACCAACCATGGGCTTTTTCTCAGATCAACGAGACGAAAAGTGACAAATCGCTCTGACGCCGGGTGTCAAAAACGTCCGTAGTTGACAGGTAGGCGCAGGAAGGCAAGGCAAGCAAGCATAACGTGCGAGCGGCCCCGAAGCGACGGGTTGGGTTGGGTCGTTCGTGGTGGTGTCGTCTTTCCTGTGACAAGCTTCACCTCAAGACACATCCTATCGCTCGCAAAATGTCGTCCAGAACAGGCAAACAGGTCAGTGACTTTTCTCCACGAGCGTGCTTGCGGGCGGGGAGGAGGGGACTGATGTTTCTTCTTTCGCGACATGTCCAAAGGGTGAGGGGGGGGGTGCGGTGGGCGTGGCGCCGTCCGTCAACTCGGTCGGTCCCCAACGGTTGCTGTCAAAATGAGATTTTAGAGAATGCGACTGGCTGGCAGATGTGACAAGTCGTCGGGCCCCCTTCTGTCTCCTGCTGCCATGCCAAATTCTGAAAAAGGGCGTCAATGGGGGGGGTTTGGTGGGTTGCGTGGTGTGGTGTAGGTAGGGATCCGACAAGCAGCAAGATCCTGTACGTTGCAAACCGTTCCATTTTCCAGAAAGGAAAAAGAAAAGAAACAGAGGAGAGTGACCCAAACCACCCCCCCATCCCTGCCTGCATCACGGACGGAGAAGAAGGGAGAATAGGGAGTCAGCGAGAGTACCCGAACATCGACAGACGGTGGTTTGACAGCGGGTCATGAATATGCACGACATAACATCATGACGAGAATCCGAAGGAGAGCGAAGACAAATCAGAAGGCGGATAACTCGAAGTCAACGTGGTGAAGAAACAATCCCGCTCCCGCTTTGGCACTCCAGACAGGTTCTGGAGTTTCTCTCTAGATTCCGTGCGCCGTATCTGCTGCTGTACGCTTTGTTCGAGCCCATCTGTCGGGAAAGAGAAACGAATATCGGCATGTCGAGTTTCCCTTGGCCTGTTGTCTCCTCCTCCTTTCCTCTCCGCAAGACGTTCGTTGTCAAAAAAAGGTTACAATGTATTGAATATGTCGAATACCGCTGTCGTCGGGAATTCGCATCCAGACCTTGGATGCGAGAATGGAATGCGATTCGCTCGCCAGAAACCGTGACAGGTGCTAGGGTACACCCTGGCACGTCGGGGGAGGAGTTCCCAGCCCCAAAATGAAGTTTTTTTTACGATTTGACAGGGCGCTTGGACCATGTTAAGGCTGGGTTCAAGCTCCAGGGGACGAAAGATGGGAGGGGATGAGGAAGCGGATGGACAGTGGGCTGGGTGGATGAAGACAAGGAGTCTTTTGGGTACGATGTAGGGATTGTTGATGAGCATCGCCATCCGGCTCTAAAGTCTGGCACTGGCCCTGGCCGCCCTTCCCTGTCCTTCTCCTGTCTCCCCCTTCTCCTCCATTGATCTTGAATATATTTTGAGGGCCCTTGGAGTCCCTTCCAGTTGCAATAGCATCCATATTCGTATGCCCGGATACACTACAATTGGCAGATTGGCAGCCAAACATTGAACAGTCCATCGGCTGGCTGGCCGGGATCAGATCAAGGCAAACGGGTGGAGAACGGGCATCGAATTCTGGCACCGGTCGGACCTGCCTGTTCAGTTTCAGATGTCCGGAAGCAACGCCAGAAGATTGCCAATTGAGCACGGCTTCCGGGATAAGGTCTGCCGCGAAGAAAAAGCCCAGAATTCTACCTGCGGTCGTTGTCCGCGGGGCGAGTTGACAAGTTGCGAGTGGATGAGATTCCTGACAAGCCCCATGCTTCCCTTCGGCCTCAGGGGCCGGGAAAGCCAATGTGTGAGCAGCCCTTCGTGCCCTTCTGCCTTTTCGTATCCCTGCCGGTCACGCCGTCACGCCAGTCTTGCGTCCAGGGTTATGAGGGTTGCTCCTCCAAGCCTGGCTGATCCTTGGTCATGACGGGGAACATAGTGTCGGCAGAAGGCATGTTTGGATGTTAAACCTCCTAGCCACTTTGCCACTCCACTCGAATCGTCCTAGTCCGATCCATCAGCGTTGGATCTGGTGGTCCCCTTGCGGCTGTCAAACTTGACAGATCCCCTTCACAATTTGGTCGCCAGTGGGGAGAACCGAGGCCGATAATCGATATGACTCCCACCGTCGAGGGGTGCAGATGGAGCTTTCGACCAGGTCTGGCAATAAGACCTTCTGTGCCGGCGGGAAATGACTTCATAATGAGCCCAGATATCTTGTCAAACTGTCCTTTAACACGCTCCTGTGGGGTTTCAATACCTGCCGATTTCCAATAATCTTTCTGCGATTCTTTCAACCTTGCGACCGCCGCTTGGATCTGGGCCTGGACTTGCACTACGCACCGTGTCAAATGTAAAGGTATGCAGGTCGCTGGCTCGAGACTCGGGAG